CAGTGGGGTATGAAGGGGCTGGGGAGGAAGCGTTGTGGGGGTGGCCTGCAGTCCTAGGCAGGGCAGTATGAGGCCCATCTTCCTTGCTCAGTAGCAACAACATCTCAGGCAAGCCACTTGGCCTCTCTGAGCCTCAGTTGCCTCTGCTCAGAAATAACAATCTGAACTTGGACAATAAGGGAAACCCAGGGCCCACGGCTTGGTCCTAGGAAGGGCTTAGCAAACGGGGGTGGTTGTCCTTCTTGGAAGCCACATTTGTTTGCCTGGTGAGTGGTGGAGGGCACTGCTAGGCCTGCTAGGGCTGACATGGCCAGAGTCAGATGACCTCATCCGGAAGGGGCTGACATCCAGCAGGTGAAATGCACAGTCTTTGATCCCCTGAACCCACCCCCTAGGACCAAGGTCACTGCAGTATTGGGTAGGACCTTAGGGAGCTAGCAGGGGGCTCATGGTTGAGTGTGAACTATGGCTTAGACCTACAGGGTTCCCTGCCCAGCTCCTCCGCAAACCAGCTGTGCAACCCTAGACAAGTGAGTTAATGTCCCTGGGCCTCAGTTTCTTCTTAGTAAAATGGGTATAGCCATATAGGGTTGTTATGAGGATTCAGTCAGATGACACATGATATCTTGGGCACACCTGGCATGGATTATGGCCCCTGTAGGAGCAGGAGGACTTCCTGGAGGAGGAGGCTAGTTGAACAGAGTCTAGAAAGTATAGATTGGGAAGAGCACTCTGGAAGGCAGGATCACCATGTGCAAAGACTCAGAGACCACCACCCACTACCTCCTGGAAATCAAGGGGATTCTGTGTGTCCAAGGGCATTGGTGGGCTCCAGGCCCCTGACCTGCATCTGGGAGGTGTCTAGGGGAAGCCAGATCCGAGGCTCATGCTTGCATGTTTTCAGATGAGGTCCAGAGATATATCCAGAGAGGAGTGGAAGGGCTCGGAGACCTACAGCCCCAATACTGCATATGGTAAGGCCCCAGCCCTGAGCCCACCCGCAGGAGCTTCAGCCCTTAGGCCCAGCCTCCACGTGACCCTCCCAGATTCCGGCCATGGCATTCTGGCTGGCAAGCCTTCTCTTCCGCTCCTGCCTAGAGGGTCGGGGAGCACATGGGCCCCTAGAGAGGGAGGGACACCTCACTGGTACAGGGATACAAGTGCAGACCCTGCCATCCCGTCCTACAGGTGTGGACTTCCTGGTACCCGTGATGGGCTACGTCTGCCGCATCTGCCACAAGTTCTATCACAGCAACTCAGGGGCACAGCTCTCCCACTGCAAGTCCTTGGGCCACTTTGAGAACCTGCAGGTGAGCCGGACATCCTGCCCTGTCCTCCCCTGGCCACAGACTCAGTTGTATCCAAGCTGATCCGGGTAGCTAGTGGCCACCCCTTCTTGTGCTGGGCCTCAACCCCAAGACACCACCCCTGCACCAACAGGGAGAAAATTAGAGCTGGGGTGGGGTTGGGCTCTTATTGTTCAAGGGGATGCTGAGTACGAGGCTGTTAGCTCCAGAGTCTTGGCCCAGAGAGGCTGAGTGCATCACGCAGGGTCACAGAGCACACTAATACTGTCTCAGCCAGAGCTGGGGAAGTAGCTGCTGGCCAGGAGCATACCATGTAGGGAGGAGACCCTGACCTTACCTGCACCTTCTGTATCCAGAAATACAAGGCGGCCAAGAACCCCAGCCCCACCACCCGACCTGTGAGCCGCCGGTGCGCAATCAACGCCCGGAACGCTTTGACAGCCCTGTTCACCTCCAACGGCCGCCCACCCTCCCAGCCCAACACCCAGGACAAAACACCCAGCAAGGTGACGGCTCGACCCTCCCAACCCCCACTACCTCGGCGCTCCACCCGCCTTAAAACCTGATAGAGGGACCTCCCTGTCCCCCGGCCTGCCTGGGTCCAAATCTGCTACTGCTTTTTAGGAGTCTGCCTGGAAACTTTGACATAGTTCGTGTTTTTACTCAAAATCCAATAAAACAAAGTAGTTTGGCTGTGCAGTTCCCACCAGTACTTCTGTCTGGGTGGAGAGGGGAAGGGGGGCACCCCAGCCAGCTCTCAGCCAGCACCCAGCCTCTCTGGGCCATGTGGTGGCAGAACCGGAAGGCCAGACAGGCTCCCTGGGAACCAGGGACTCTGGATCACAAGGCACTTCACCTGTCTGAACTTTGGTTTCCCTCTTTTAAAAAAAGTTTTAGAGGCCGGGCGCGGTGGCTCAAGCCTGTAATCCCAGCACTTTGGGAGGCCGAGATGGGCAGATCACGAGGTCAGGAGATCGAGACCATCCTGGCTGACACGGTGAAACCCCATCTCTACTAAGAAATACAAAAAATAGCTGGGCGAGGTGGCAGCACCTGTAGTCCCAGCTACTCGGGAGGCTGAGGCCGGAGAATGGCGTGAACCCGGGAGGCGGAGCTTGCAGTGAGTTGAGATCCGGCCACTGCACTCCAGCCTGGGCAACAGCGCGAGACTCCGTCTCAAAAAAATAATTAATTAATTAATTAATTAATTTTTGAGCCAGGTGCGGTGGTTTATGCCTGTAATCCCAGCACTTTGGGAGGCCGAGATGGGCAGATCACGAGGTCAGGAGATCGAGACCATCCTGGCTGACACGGTGAAACCCCATCTCTACTAAGAAATACAAAAAATAGCTGGGCGAGGTGGCAGCACCTGTAGTCCCAGCTACTCGGGAGGCTGAGGCCGGAGAATGGCGTGAACCCGGGAGGCGGAGCTTGCAGTGAGCCGAGATCGTGCCATTGCACTCCAGCCTGGGCGACTCCATCTCAAAAAAAAAAAAAAAAATTAATTTAAATTTATTTTTTGAGATGGAGTCTCACTGTGTCTCTCACGGTGGAGTGCAATGACCCAATCTCGGCTCAATGAAACCTCCATCTCCCAGGTTCAAGTGATTCTCCTACCTCAGCCTCCTGAGTAGCTAGGATTACAGGTGCATGCCACCATGCTCAACTAATTTTTTGTATTTTTAGTATAGACCGGGTTTCGCCATGTTGGTGAGACTGGTCTTGAACTCCTGACCTTAAATGATCCGCCTGTCTTGGCCTCCCAAAGTGCTGGGATTACAGGCGTGAGCCACCACACCTGGCTCATTTTTATCCTTTTGAGGCAGGGTCTGGCTCTGTTGCTCAAACTGGAGTACAGTGGTGCCAATCTCAGCTCACTGCAACCTCTGCCTCCCAGGCTTAAGCCATCCTCCCAACTCAACTTCCCGAGTAGCTGGGACCACAGGCATGCACCATCACGCCTGGGTAATTTTTCTTATGTTCTTGGTAGAGATGGTGTTTCGCCATGTTGCCCAGGCTGGTCTCAAATTCCTGGGCTCGAGCAATCCGCCCACCGTGGCATTCCAAACTGCTGGCATTATAGGTGTGAGCCACTGTGCCTGGCCAAGTTTCCCTCTTAATAACATATCAGACCTGGGGAAATTCCTTTGGCTGGAGGCCTAGCAAGGTCAAGTGACTTGCTGAAGGCCACGCAGTTGGTTAAGTGGCTGGGATTTGACCTGGGCCTGACCTCTCTGACCCGTGCTGGCCTGTCTCTCCAGCTGCACCCTTTGGCAGCTAGTGGGGAGTGGGGTCCTTGCTGCTCAGGCCCTCTGGTTCTCTTCTTGGTTCACTAGCAGGCACCCCGCCCTCCTGGTCAGGCGGCCCTAACATGAATCATGGGTGGATGGGGCTCGGGCTGAGTTGGCCCTTTACTTCTGCTATTTCCTCATTAGAAAGACCCAGAGAGATCAATGACCAGACCAACCCTGTTACTGGGGAGACAGGCCAGGAGTAGGAGGGCAATGCAGAGGCTGCATAGCATGTCTTGGTGTTGGCTGTCTTGGCAAAAGGCCTTAGTATCCAGAGAGGCTGAGAGCATCACACAAGGTCCTGTAGCCTGTCCAGCAGCCTCAATTGGGCTTCTGGGCTAGGACGCAGCTGCTAGCCAGGAATGTACCAGGTAGGGAGGAAGCCCTGCCCTCACCTGCACCTTCTGTGTCCAGAAGTACAGGTGACCAAGAACCCCAGCCCCACCACCTGGCCTCTGAGCCGCCAGTACATGATCAATACCTGAACACCTAGATGGCCCTGTTCACCTCCAGCAGCTCCTGGGGTTCTCATCCTGGGATACAGAGGAGAGAGGCACAGCGGTGTGGGAGACCCATTTAATGTGGACACTCAAGGCCTGGGCAGAGTGGGGAGTGCCCAGGAGTTGGGTGGGCAGGCAAGTGGGTGGGTTGCAGGCCCACTCTTGGCCCCAGGAAGGGATGCCAGGCAGTGGGGGCTGGCCCAGGTAGGCCAAGGGGGAGGCCCAGGCAGGAAGGGTGGTCCAGGTAGGCAGACCCACCAGGGGACCCTGAAGACCAGCCCTTGAGAAGGTGTCTAAGCCAGGAGGTGAGTACCCAGGCCAGAGCCTAGCCCAGGGAGGCAGGGTTGGGTCCCGGTTGGGGGCTCTCGGAGCCTAGGGGCTGGCATCACTGGGGGCCTCCCCGAGCTGCTGCTGGAACTCCAGGCGTGTCTGCCGGTTGGACTCCAGCAGCTCCTGGAGGCGGGCGTGGAGGTGGTCGTTCTTCTCCTCCAGGTGGTCCAGACAGGAGTTGATCTGGTCCAGCATGGAGTTGATGGCAGCGTATTCTGGGAGGAAGGCGAAAGACAGAGCCCAGATCCTGTGTCTCCTTGGGGCTAATGGCCACCCTCCCTCCACCGTTTCCCAGCCTGCTACCCAAAGGGCTTTGTGCAAGTCCCCACTCCTTCCTGAGCCTCAGTGTCACCGTCTGGAAAATGGGTGGATACCAAAAGCGGAATGGCTTTGAATGAATGACACCTGAGTACTGCATCCTTTTTTCTAGGGTTAGGGTGGTCACAGGGTGGCGAGCCAGTGTCCTACATGGGAAGTCCTGCCAGGTGCCAAGTCTCTGCACTTTCTGCAGCAGCTGCTTAGTGGCCAGAGCCCACATTCCTGAGTTGGGCATTCAAGGCCTCTGTTCCCACATGGGCCCTGTTCGCCAGCCCTTCTCTGGCTCCCCCAGGGTAAAACACCCAGTGGAGTCTCCCAGCCCCTGCCTCCTAGCTAGCCCTGCCTCCCTGCCTCTTCCTTTCCTCTCTCACACCTGCCTTTACCTACCTCAGGCCCTTTGAACATGCTGCTGTCTCTGCCTGGAATGTGCTGGGTCCTCCCATCTTCCTTCCCTCCTCTCCTTCTGGATGAGTCCCACTCATCCTTCAAGTCTCAGTATGGATGTCACCACCGGGAGCCCACCCAATACCCCAGACTGGATCAGGCCTCTATGCTGAGCCCCTAGCCCTCCTCAGCCCTCCACGACCCTCTCCAGGATTGACTGCTGTGCTTATCTGAGTGCTGTTCTGTTTCCCCATGAAAGCTGAATGGTCCTGTGTTCGCTGCTGGCTCCCTGGTACCCTCACAGTTTTGCAATAAGCATTTGTTGAATGACTGAGTGAGTGAATGAATGAAGCCTCTGACTTGCCAGCCTCTCCGCCATTGCTCAACTATCCCTGCAACCTAGAATGCCTCAACCACAACAGCCCATCAAGGACCAGCTCAAAATGCCTCCTCCAAGAAGTCTTCCCTGGTCTCCACTAGAAACCATCACTCCCTCCCCTCCACGGCCACTCCAGAGCTGCCTTGCTCAGCAACACAGTGTCCCTGAGGACTCAAGGTCTGGGCCTGTGCCCACTGCGGGACCCAGTTCTGAGCCAGCCCATGACTCAGATACACTCAGCTGCCAGCTTGAGACCAAGGGGGAAGCAGCCAGTGGAGGAGCTGGAGGAGCCTATCTGGGTTATGGGTGCACTTGTGCCTCTGTTCTGGGAAAGGGCACCCGTTCCCAGCCACCCTCACAGAGGACAGAGTCCTGGGAAACTGGCTGCAACTTAAAAGTCCAAGCCCCTCGTGGTATATAGCTAGGGAAACCAAGGCCTCCGAAGGAACCTGCCCAGGATCCTCCAGGTTGGTAACAGAGTCGAAACTCAGGATTGGACTTGGAGGTCGGGGCACTTGGGTTTGAATTCCAGCTCTGCTTTACCCCAGCAAGTTGTTGTACCTTTCTGGAAAAAAGGGAAAATAACTGGGTGGTTGTGAGGATTCAAACATATCAAGAGTTCAGACAGTGGCCAGCGTGGTGGCTCACGCCTGTAATCCCAGCACTTTGGGAAGCCAAGGCGGGTGGATTACCTGAGGTCAGGAGTTCGAGACCAGCCTGGCCAACATGGTGAAACACTGTCTCTACTAAAAATATATAAAAATCCTGTAATCCCAGCACTTTGGGAGGCCAAAACGGGCGGATCACGAGGTCAAGAGATCGAGACCATCCTGGCTAACACGGTGAAACCCCGTCTCTACTAAAAAATACAAAAAGCTAGCCAGGCAAGGTGGCGGGTGCCTGTAGTCCCAGCTACTCGGGAGGCTGAGGCAGGAGAGTGGCGTAAACCCAGGAGGCAGAGCTTGCAGTGAGCTGAGATCCGGCCACTGCATTCCAGCCTGGGCGACAGAGCAAGACTCTGTCTCAAAAAAAAAAAGAAAAAAATAGCCAGGCGTGGTGGTCATCTATAGTCCCAGCTACTTGGGAGGCTGAGGCATGAAAATCGCTTGAACCCAGAAGGCAGAGGTTGCAGTGAGCCAGGATCACGCACTGTACTCTAGCCTGGGCAACAGAGCAAGACTCCAACTCAAAAAAAAAAAAAAAAAGAGTTCAGACAGGATCTGGCCACAGCAAGTACTTAGTGGATGATCATTATTATCAATATTTTGAATTCTGTGTCCTGGGATACAGGCTGGGAGGAGGAATTGGGGAGGCAGGTGCCCCACACCCCTCCAGGCCAGGGTACTTCCCAGTTCCAAGCCTTTGCTTCTGCCTGGGACACCACTGTTCTAAGTCCTGTCTGCCAGCATCCACTCAATGTGACCTCCTGGGAAGCTCTTCCTGATGCTCCCAACAGCATTGCCCAATGCAAACCTACCTAAAACTATTGTGGTGATGGATGCACAGCCCTGGGAATACACAAAAGCCCACTGAACTGTACAGTTTAAATGGGTAAGTTGTATAGCTCAATAAAGCTGTTACCGCAAACAAAACAAAGAGCATGCGCCATACTTACACCACATTTACTAAATCCTCAGTGTATGTTAACATGCCAATCTTTACCAAAGAGAATAATGACAATAACCATTTACTGAACTCTTGCATGCTAGAACCTGCTAAGCATTTTCCATTTATTTTTTGCATTTAATGCTGACACATCCCGGTGCAGGAGACACTAATCATTATTCCTATTTTATAGAGGGGGAAACTGAGGCTGAAGAATGTGAGAAGGGAGCTGATGGTTCTCTCTCCACACCCCACCCCTGCACTTGTAAGCACGCAAAAGGCTGCTCTGTAAGCTGCTGACATTTGGCAAGGCTGCGAGGCTACACCAGCAAAGCCAAGTGGCTGGGGATGCTGACTCGGCAGAGCGACGCCCCCGCGCCCCCCCAACCCCACGCCCCAGCCCGGCCTCTCCGCTAAGCCAAGCCGGCCAAGCTCAACCCTGCCTCCCTCAGGTGCCTCGGTCTCCCCCCAGGACTGAAGGAAGTGGTGGAGCAAGGCCCACAAGGGCGAGTGTCCCCGAAGCTGCCTCAATTTCCCCATCTGTAAAAGGGGACTGGTGACCCGCAGCTCTCACGGAGCTGGCGACCGGCTCGCGGGTGCTCGCCCTGCATCCGAGACAGCACCTACAACTCCGGACCCACTCAGGGCGGAATGGGGTGGGTTCTTTGTTCCCTTCCAAGACCCCATCCCGATTCCCCTTCCCGGGAGGGCAGCCCTGAAAAAGCAAGGTTGCTCCAGCAGCCCCCTCGGGTCACCTGCTTCCCCGAAGCCATCCTCCTCTCCTTCCGCTCCCGCCTCCACCGGCATCCCCAGGTCCCCGTTGGGGCCCGACATTGCGGGCTCGGGCGCCCGAAGGGCCGCGCGACGATGGAACGCGGCGACCGTCGCGCCGAAAGCCGGCGCCGGATGGAAGGTGGAGGCGGTGGATAGAACACCGGGCCGGAAGGGTGGAACGCGGCAGCAGATCTCCGCCCAGAGGCCGGGGCCCCACCCCTGAAGCCGGAATCCCGCAGATCTCGCTCCGCCCCGCCCCCAGCCGGAACTCCGCCCCCGCCCCGTCCAGACTCCGCCCCCACCGCCCGAGTCCCACCTCCACCTGCCTCACAGTCGAACTCCGCCCATTCCGCCGCTGGCTTCGCCCGTCTCCTGGGCGCTGGGCGGGGCCACCACGGTGCTGCCCCTGGAAAAGCCCAGGAGTAGGGAGGTCCAGGAGGAGGGGCGGGAGACCTCCCAAGCCCATCTGCTGCTTCGACCCCTCCGCCTGGGCGAAATCGAAAACGGGTTTCCTTGTTATTTTTTGAGATAGGGTCTGGCTCTGTCTTCCAGGCTGGAATGCAGTGGGGTGATCTCGGCTCACTGCAACCTCTGCCTCCCAGCCTGAAGCGATCCTGCCACCTCAGCCTCCAGAGTAGCTGGACTACAGGCGGGTGTACCACGCCGGCTATTGTATTTTTTGGAGACGGGGGTTTCGCCATGTTGCCCAGGCTGCTCTCGAACTCCTGAGCTTGAGCCATCCACCCGCCTCGGCCTCCCACAATGCTGGGGTTACCGGCATGAGCTACTGGGCCCAGCCTTGAAAACGGGGTTTCCATACCTCCTGTGGCTTCAGGACATTCCTCTTCACAGCCTCGCTGAGAGTCACGAAGGGTCTCCTTCCTCCTCGCCTCTCTGCCTGCACCCCAATGGAGAGGATCCAACACCCCTACCCCTGGATCTGGGCCTTCCTGGTCTCCAGCGCTTCTCTTAGGGCTCATTGGTTACAACCTGTGGGTGGGAATCAGGCTGGACTCCAGCTCTGGACAAGAGAAACAGGAACATTAGGCGGGATGGCTCCCACCTGTAATCCCAGCGCTTTGGGAGGCCGAGGTGGGAGGATTGCTTGAGCCTAGGAGTTGGAGACCAGCCTGGAAAACATAGTGAGACTCAGCCCCCCCGTCTCTACAGAAAGTACAAAAAAAATTAGCCAGACCTGGTGGCATGCACCTTAGTTGCAGCTGCTTGGGAGGCTAAGGCAGGAGGATCACTTGGGCCCAGGAGTTCGAGGCTGCAGTGAGCTATGACTGCACCACTGCACTACAGCCTGGGTGACAGAGTGAGACTCTGTCTTTAAAAATAATAATTAATTAATTAGTTAGTTTTTAAAAAGTTTAATTAGCCAGGTTTGGTGGCACACCCCTATAGTCGCAGCTACTGGGGAGGCTGAGGCAGGAGAATCACTTGAACTGGGAGGCAGAAGTTGCAGTGACCAGAGATCGTGCCCTTGCACTCCAGCCTGGGTGACAGGGTGATACTTCATCTCAAAAAATAAAAATTAAAAAAATTAAATGTGAGGCCGGGTGCAGAGGCTCATGCCTGTAATCTCAGCACTTTGGGAGGCTGAGGCAGGTGGATCATGAGGTCAGGAATTTGAGACCAGCCTGACCAACATGGCGAAACCCCATTTCTACTAAAAATACAAAAATAAACCGGGTGTGGTGGCGTGCGCCCATAATCCCAGCTACTCAGGAGGCTGAGGCAGGAGAATCACTTGAACCCGGGAGACAGAGGTTGCAGTGAGCTGAGATTGCACCACTGCACTCCAGCCTGGACAACAAAGAGAAACTCTGTCTCAAAAAATAAAAAAAGAAAGAAAATTTGGCCTGGAGCAGACCTACCTTTGTTTGTTTGTTGTTTGTTTGTTTTGAGACAGAGTCTCGCTCTGTTGCCCAGGCTGGAGTGCAGTGGCATGATCTCAGC